CAAGCCATTTCCCCTAACTACTTGCTTAATCCACTAGGAAAACATCAATCAAGATAGTAAAGGATTTACATATAAATCCGATCTTATTAAAATAATTAAAATAGAAACTGATGGTATAAAAATCTTGTGGAATATCAAAATTTATTACAATAGTTCTCCATAAGTGGCCTAGATTTAAGTGCCTTATTAAATGGTATGTGAAATGTACGTGAAAACATCGAAAAAAATAAGTCCTCCCTCGTAAAACATGTATTTGACTAATTATTTTACTTTAAAAAAAAAAATTGTAACATGGCGGTGACATCAAAGTTGATTTTCATGGGTCATTTATGAAAAAGTTGTTGTGCTATCAAGAAATCCTTAACAAATTCATAATGTTTTAAAATGGCTTTTATGAAGAAAGCTTGCTGGCTGAATTGTATTTATCTAAAGCCATTTTGCTTGATTCTAACCCGTTCAGATTTATGGCAGCATTTATGGAGGCAAAGTTGCCTGCCAAAATTTAAACGTCAAAGTTTGTTTATCTTTCGATATTTAGTTGCTCTGTGGGATCCAGTGTTCTTCCAGGCGGTTTCCTCCCGATGGATTGAAAGCAGTTACTCAGATAGTTTGTTTTGCAACATTTCGGATTTCGAACAACTGGAAGCGCAATCGTTCCCGAAAAAGATCGCCTTCTTCCGGATGGTTATAGAAGTGCACCATCCAACGATGCAGGGATGTACGTATGAATGAAATTTGCGAAGAGTTGATTCTTTCGCCAAATAAAATCGCTGCTATGGATCGGAAACCAGCTAATCTCCGCTAACTAACAGTTTCAGTGGTTTGTTGTCGGTTGTTATTTCGATGGTCATACGATGGTCGCAAGATCTGGAGAAGGCTGGTATGTTTTTCAACTTTCTACAATGTTTAATGAATTCGAGGGCCCCGCTAACTTTACTCTTTTCCGCCAGATGGTCAGTCGTTGATGGTGTCCTGGTTCTTTTAAGAGGTAAATTTTGCTGAAATCGACTTGAATTTTTCATCCTGCTTTGTCTATCCTTCGAGATTTCCTTGTCATAAATTTGGCTTTTATTAACTATGAGGGACCATATTTTAAGCTCAATTTGTAAACAAAGTAATTGGAGAGTTTATGATGTCCTTTAAAAAGCCTAAAAAGCAACAATAAATGCTTTTTGCTCAAATGCAAAACCTAGTGTTAATAAGCTTTTTTATCAAGACACTAATAAACAATTGCTAATGACGTTAATGCTTGCATTACAGATCAGTTTTAAGGAGGGATTGAGAACTGCTTAAAATTTATTTTTAAAACAAGACAGTTGTTGACTTTATAGCCAGACTATAAAAGGTTTTTAAAACATCAAAAAGCTGAATTACTATGCAGGAATGTTTTGCACTTTGAAATGCTGTATTTATACTAAATGGATTGTTCATTGTCGTTATAAAACCGTCATAAATCAGAGTGGATGCCAAATGGTTACTGAATTGTTACTTGGGCGTATATGCTCCAGCTATGCTCACACGCTTCCACTATGTCGCACCACAAAAATACGTCTGGGTATGTCACAATAGAAGCACGCCACAGTGGAAATCCCGAGCCATAGTTCAAACACTTATCCCAAATCAAAATGAAGCACATATAAGATTAGTTACAATACCATGTACAAAAATGGTGTTTAACATTGTTTCCTGAGTAATACTTCAATGAAAACAACAATGAAAGCTTGTCACGCAAATAGAAGGAGCACTGTTGGGCACTTTCTGAAATATTTCAATAGTATAATTACCTTGCAAACCCAAATAAATCTATCTGCGTAAAAATAAATAAAATAAGAGTGATTTGCGGCAAAACCCGCCAGTATCACACCCAACGTCAGTGCCTATACGTAAGCGCACTACGACGCGGCTCTCAATCAAAGGAGTAACAAGTGTGATACTATCACTGCTAGACTAGATCTTTGGTTCTCTCATGCAGTGGTTTATCAGAGAGGGGAAGCTCAGTAATCCCCATTGCCTGCAGGGATCGCGGCATGAGCCAGCAACGTCGGCCATAAACCTATCGTCTCCAACACTCCACTAGCATGAAATTAAGCCCGCCCACCAACAGCAAGGTGCAAGGGGAGGGTCTACCCCTGAATAATTACCATTGATACCAAATATTTGGACTCTTAGAACCAAAAAATAATAGACAACGGATTCGCCTGTATCCAAACATATATACAGGGTGTTTGTTTCCGCTGCTAAGTTTTTTTGTATTGCCAACTTTGCTTAGCTATATTTTTTTAATCTTAATGTGGTTTTCTAATTTCAACATACCAAATGAAAGATTAAAGTCTTACCTATCAATGCTCTTTGAAAAAGAACTCGATTAAAGTTAATTATCACACATTAAAATTGAAAAGTATGTTGAAAGTACCAAAAAAAAACTGGTGAAATTTTATACATTTTAGTGTTTTTAAGTTGAAAATTTTCATTTCTGTTTATTTAGTTGTTCTACAAAACATTTTCCATGCAGTTCCCTAGATTTGTGCCTTTGGTAGTAACCTTGTAGGCTTTATGGTTTCTTCGTAATTATTGATTTAAAACAGCCATAAAAACTTGTGACGTTTTCATAAAATGCGCTATAGTTACCCTATTCGTTCGTACGTTCGGCTGTTGCAGCGGACTACGCACATGAAAATTTGGTAGAATATTATTGTAAATGTTTAGCTACATTTTTAACTTTTGATTACCGCACATCTCCTGCGCCGAAAGAAAACATAACTGCGGAGATGTTTCGCGGTATCGAATATTGCTCAGTCTCAGCAGAAAACACAACGAGAGACACCGAATCGGCGAATTCTGAGAGCGGAAGGGAGAGAAGTAGGTAGTGGTAATAAATCGATATCCTTAGATGTTGTACAGGAGTTAGTATTTTTACTGGATTTTTGGATTACTGACTCGGTTAAAATTCAAATGACTGTTATGCGTAAAGATTGGATAAAATCGAAATTTTTTATTTTTCATCATTACACGGGGCTAACAGAAGTTAGTCTGTAAATTTCCGTAACACATTTTCTCAACTTTGAATTTTTCACAGATTTTTTCAAAAACTTCAAAAACTCTTCGAGTTTTCTAGGGAGTTAATCTCGGGCACTAATGTGATTTGAGGCACTAAATTGTCATCACAGTTTTGTTATTGTATGTTTTCCGGTAGCAGATAATGGCCTCCTGGAAAAAGCGAAGTGGAACCAGAGCCCGAGGTTCTGGACCGTATCACCTTAAAACAATTTCTATGGGGGGGATGGGGGAGGAAGTGGTCGGAACATAATGAGAAGAATGTCTCCTGTAGTTCGTGCAATTCAGCATCCTTAGGGAAATTGTGAAAAGATTTTCGCTTGGTTTATTTGCGCATCAATAAAGCTAGCCATGTTTTGATCGGTTTTAAACAAACAATGCTTTGCTCACAACAATTTTGACCCATATTGGACTTTTCATGCACATACTGGACATTTCCTGATAACATTCCTCAGAAGCCCTGTGGACTCCCCAAAATTCCTGTATTCTTCTCCGAAAAGTCTTGTATAGTTCCTCTGACAACAGTGATTTGATCTATTGTAGTATATCCCGTGTCCATAATTTAGTGCATGTCGTATTACTAAATCACTATTGAGAAATGATGAAGTGTAGTAAGTAATTCAAAGGTCCCGCTATTTATACCCTTCGGAGTGTTGAAACACCCTCCAAAGGCAAGCCCCTTTGTCAGTCAAAATTGGATTCCTTAGCAACAAAATTAAGCAATGACACCGATAATGACCATGCATCAGAACCCTAGTCTTAATAACTTCAAACTAAAGAACAACAAGAAGAAGATTAGGAATCACATAGATGAAGACTAACTAGCTCATTTTTTCCTTGTTTCAAGATCATCCTCGATGGACAAAGCCGAGTCCAACAAGACATAAAAAGTAACAGGACTAAGATGTGTTACTTTGATTACTGAAAAATCGTGTTCCCCTAGTTTGAAGTAGTCAGGACTAGGAATCGGTGGTAGATCTTACATCCCATAACGTACCACAAAAAGGTGATCTACCCACGTTACGGGGCAGCTTCGCTTAAAGAACTCGGAAATCTGTGGACGCCCACCGACATAAACAGACTTCTCAAGTATTGTGATCTTCTACAAAAAAGCTTAGGAGCATCCTGTTGAAGTTCTATGAACATTGGCGTTGCTAATGGGGGTCCGTTACCCCCTTCAGAATGATCCAGCCGCCCCTCCAGATCTTTTTGGTGATTCTAATACAGACAATTTGAACTATAGAGATCTTAAAAACATTCTGGAGAGAGCCTAGATCATTCTGAAGGCACCCTAGGCAGTCCCATTAGCTACGCCAATGTCTTTGAACTTATCCCAAACGAGCCTGAGGAGTTCCGTAAAAGGTTTCAACTTCACGAGTTTAAAAAGGCTTAACGATTTCACCAGAAACGCTTTCCTGTCCTAATTTCAGTGTGAAATGAATATAATTTCAAATTTATTTATATTAACACTTAAAATTCCATTTGAATGCCCCTCACCAATTTGGACAACGATATGTCAAACATAATGTAACGTATATTTTTGACGTACAATTGCTACAACAAGTACTGTAATATCAAATTTAAACTAAGGCTTTCTTTTCAGTTCCAATGCACACTAAACAATCACCAGCCATTATTTTCTCATAATACTCACTTCTACTTCTCCTAAACTACAACAGTTTCCTACGGTTTTTTCCTTTCTTCTATATCTTCTTGTAACATATATTAAGATCCGGCAAGCGAAAAACTCCACACAAAACGCGTCGGCCATATCCTCCATCGCTGATTCCGGGAGGGGGTTAGGGTTAGGATCTTTCTTCTACTTCTAAGCTTGAGCAACTTGATTTCCAATCAATCCAATAATGGTTGCATGCATGCGTGCTGCTTCAGTTCAGTTTTGCGATTAAAATTAGTCGTTGTGTGTTTTCGTTTCATCAAATTCAAATATTTACAACTGGAACTACTGGTCAAACGGTTCGACGAAAAGGCCTTAAAACATTGTCCTTAATGCGAGAAACAACTTAACGCGGTTTTTCCTTATAATAAAATATTGCTTTTTAGGGTTAGATTAGTGTAATATGTGTTGTTTTCCCGGGGAGGTAAATATAAATAATGGATTTCCTGCTTCTAAAGGGGTAGTAAGGTAGTAAACAACAGTAAATAACAACTTGTATGAATAGGTATAACAAAACTTAACGATGCTTTGCTTGATGCGTGTTCTTCCTAGAGACGGCCATTTTGGAATGTTTAACTTTTAAATGTGAGCAAATTGGAAGTTCTTAAGATAAGTGTGTGCGTGTTGCGATTTTATTACTTGCGTAGTAGTTCTTCCAACTAAAACCGAAGATTGTTTTGTTTCTATCACAACTATTATAACTGTAGTCTTACGAAAACTAGTATTGCAAGTGTGTCTGTGTGGTTCATTCACTCCCAGGTTACATCCAGCAGCGGCAGCTTCCACAAGCAAAGGTGCTAAGCGATTTAATCTGAAAGAAAGCATGATGGCGATCGGCTGACTTTAGACAGGTTGAAATGAACATTTCAAAAGGTCCTATCTGCTTTGATCGATTCTCGAAAGAAAAAATCCACGAAGAGAGCCAATCAATGCAGATTGGACCTTCCGAAATGTTCATCCAGAAGTGTTGTAGTTTACCTTTCTTTATCCAGCGCACTCATACACACCCAATCACACAGGCTATCAAACTATAGGCTAATTCTCAGTGTTTCGAGGCGGCAGCCTTTCAACAGTTGTGACACTTGACCAGGCCCACCTCGTCGCAGTTCATGCACTTGAGGGCGATAAACTCGGCGGTGAAGTGGTTGCGGTGGATGGATTTCTTCGAGCCGCCGCAGGAAGGGCACGGCAGTAGCCGGTAGCCACCGCAGGTTTTGCACGTGAAGGACGATTCCAGGCACTGTAAATGAGAAAGAATGGAATTAGTTTGGGATGAAGGCTTTCGGTGATCAATCATGAAGATAGGATACTTTGTAGGGTTTCAGCATCTTCCGCAGCTCGCCGGTCTCGTTCAATCGCTCGATCCAATCGGCGTCCTGGAAATAAGGCGTTTTGTTTAGAAAAAAAATTGTAAATGAAATTCACGCATTTCACAGGAAGATTTTACTCAGTGTAGCAATCTCAATGACCTCCTTCCAATGTAAATAATAAAAAAAATCTATAATTGAATTCAATATTTTCGTTCAATCAAACCAACAAATCCACCGTCCGTTAACCATCGAGGACACTGGAAAAGCCTCGTTCAAATGGTCCCCGGATTGAACAGCCGCAATTACTTCAATTACAAATGCAATAGAAGTAAAACCAAAGCGCTATTGTTTGGGTCGTTTTTGCTCTGCTCTTAATTTCATTAATTACACGAACCGACGGCGGCGGCAAATGGCAATCATCTCGTATGCGTGTAATTTCAAAATAATTCCTCCGCGGCTTCGCTGACTTCGAACGGTTTGTAATAATTACCGACCGCGACCAAATCCGATTAAACTAAACAGAGACAAAAAATGAATGCAAAAAAAGCGATCACACGTCGCTTTAATTGACAGCTGGCGAGAGTGCTGCCACCTACCGTCTGGTAGATCGTTGAATTTAGCTAGAAATCTACATTACTTCACATCTGTAAGATCAGCTGTAACCACCCATTGCCACCGAAGAGGTGATCTCCTGGGATGGTAATTTGGAATGTAAATCGCTTTTTGCGTGTCTTTGCCCGCTCGAACCCGTCATGAATAAAACATTAGTGTTTACAAATTGAATCGTTTGAAACAAACATTTCACCTCTTTTTTTGCCGCTCATCAAGTTGGCAAGCAAGCACCTTCCGGCTACTACCATTGCCCGAACTAAGTAAGCGTAGTAGGCTTCCTCCGATCTAAGCAGGCTTACGAAAAGTGAAAATACCTTGTTGTTTTTTTTCTCAAAATGACAGCTAATGCTCGATTTGCGGTGGAAATTTGTTCGCTTATTGTGCATGCCGACGACTAGTCACGGGCGCTGGCTGGGTGACATTCGGGCCGGAAAGTTAATGACCAAAAGCAAATTGTCCAATTCGGGGAAAAGAGACAATATTGGTATTCCGTGCGCAGAAGTCGCGGGGCAATTTGTTTCGTAATAATTGCATACCTGCGGCAGGTTGGTTATGTTTGCTGTTGCTGTTGTTTTGGTCGTTTGGATGGAACGGCTAAAATTGGCCGGCACTCCAAACGTTTGTGCGAAGAATGAGCGAGATTGTTTGGGGTATTTTTGTCAGTTACTTGCAACCAAATGTGACCAATCACCGTAAATAACTTTACGAATCACTTTACCAGATTGACGCAGTGCAGCGCTCTAGCCAGTGCTTCACCACCGTATTTTAATAGCTCACTTGGTTGTTGATCTACACCAGTTGCTATGTTGTTCTACAGCCGACCGATCGCCTCCTCAACTTCTTGAAGATCAGGGGCCGGTAGCCCGTCGTCTTCTGCACGTGCTCCAAGGTCTGTTCCCGTGCCACCTTCGTTTTCTGTTGCATTACCGTTGAGGTGCTCGTCATAGTAATGTTTCCACCTCTCAATTTTATGGAGTGACCATTTTACGGATGTTGTTGATCTTCCGGACGACGGTCCCATGGCTATCTAGGTACATGTGTCACGACCACAAATTCATTCTTATATCACAGTTCCTAATGTATTTGGAAAAAACTGACCCATGGTCATTTGGGTCCATGTTTATGTCATGACCCCAAATTTTTCCTTATATCGCAGTTCCGTATGCTTTCGAAAAAACCGTAGAACTCTAGAATCAGTTTCGATGTTCTAGTTCTTGCGGAGGACGGTCCGATGGACTTCTAGGTACATGTTTATGTCACGACCGCAAATTAATTTATATATGACAGCTCCAAGTGTTTTCGAAAAAACCGTGGAACTCTAGGATCAGTTCTTTACATTGGCCACTTTTACTAATTTTTCGGATCTTCCGGAGGACGGTCCGATGACCATCTGGGTCCATATTTATGTCACGATCTCAAATTAATTCTATCATCTTAGTTATTAGTGTTTTTCAAAAACTGCGGAGTTCTAGGATCAATTCCATGGATTGATCACTTTTACGGATGTTCCGGATCTTCCGGAGAACGGTCTTATGGACATCCAGGTTCATGTTTATGTCACAACAACAAGTTCTTTCTATCATCACAGTTCCTAATGTTTAAAAAAACGCGGAGCTCTAGGGAAAATATCGGGGATTTACTACTTTTACGGATGTTCCGGATCTTCCGCTGTCCACTGTCAATGTCCATGACCCAAATTCATTCTTATATCACAGATCGTAATGTTAAAAAAATGCGGAGCTCTAGAATCAGTTTCATGGATTGTACACTTTTACGGATGTTACGGATCTTCCGGAGGACGGTCCCATTGCCATCCAGGTACATGTTTATGTCACGACCCCCATGTTTATGTCACGACCCCAATTTCTTCCGGTTTCAGAAAAAGTGTCAAATACTCTACAAAATGGGTATTTTCGGAAAGGGGACGACGCAAAGATGCCAACAATTTGAATATGACGCCAATTTGGAATTCAAGATGGCGGCTGGGCGGGTTTTAGAAAAAGTGTATGACACCCTACAATATGGGTATTTTCAGAACCGATACGACGCGTCATATTCGTCAATACCAATCAATATGGGTATTCTTGGAATTGGGGTGACGTCTAGAGGCCGAAAATCGATATCCGACACTATTTTGAAATCGAAGACGGTGGCTTCCGGTTGAAGAAAAATAAGGAAAAACTGTCAAATACCCATCAATATGGATATTTTTGGAATCGTAGTGATGTCAAGAGACCGGAAATTGATATCCGACGCCATTTTGAAATCCAAAATGACGGCTTCCGGTTTCATAAAAAGTAGGAAATACAGTCACCCATCAATATGGGTATTTTTGACGTAGGACTACGTCTGTGATTTCTATATGGGGGTAAACTTTGTGAAAACCGACAATGGAACATGTAACAAAATTATGAAAGATTTTGAACGTGAATAACTCAGCTGCCCCTGGGCCAATTTAAGTAATTTTATCACCAATCGATCAGAAATATTTCTACGCATAAGACTTTATCATTTTTCAAAATGTCACTATTGATAATTGAACGAATGTGCAACTGTTGCTATGATAGCTAAAATTATCACCGATTGCCTGCGAAAAGCGATTTCCCAAACACAGATTTCAAAGTTAAATTACAACCGGTCTCACCAAACGGTGTTTATTCAATCAACGCGTGGTGAGTGGTGGTGTTCTCCAGTACAGAACGAAAGGCTCCCCACAAGCAGCTAGCTATCAACCGCTGATCGGATTCAGTTCCAATCACCGTGTGTGGCGTTGAACATTGTTCTCCATTGTTCACAACGAAAGACTGCCTGCAAGCAACGAGCTGCAGCCTACATGAGCATCCATAGAATGAGGAAAAACCCGCACCGATATTGTTCAGAATCAGTAGCTCTTCGTGAGTCGCTGTGGGCCATCTATGCCTAGCGCGTCACCCTAATTCCAAACAACATACAGCTCACCAGCCTCATCTGTGTTTAACACCCTCATAGCTCAGCATTACTCAACCACCTTGTGATGGACCACCATAAATTTGTAAAAGAGTATTTTTTTGACATTTGTCAAGGTCATCAATCGGTCAGTTCCCATATCAAGATAGAGCTGGAATTAAGGCGTAACAGCTTTTGTACACAATGACTTATTTCGATGATGTCTTGAAAGTCAAGGCTCGCCCACACAAATCAACATCACCATAAGGTAGGGTAAGACTTCCCCTACCCGACGGTAATGTTGGTTTGCGTGGACGTGCCTTGAATTCCTAAAAATCATTGAGAGAAGTCATTGTTTACAAAAGCCTGTTACGGCAAATTCCAGCTCTTTCTAGATATGTTTCCATCTAACATAACATGTTCTTGAAAGCAACATTGGGGGGGGTGAAAATTAAAACACCAAAGTCGGTCGCGGCTTGAAAGTGGTCTGTTTTTGATCCAGAGATGATGGATTTTGATTTTTCATACGTCAATCGATAGGATTTTTTTCTACAAATCTGTTAAAATTAGGACTTTATCATTTTTCAAAATGCCACTATTGAAAATTGCATGAATGTGCAACTGTTGCTATGACAGTTAAAATTATCACGAGAATTATCACCAATTGTCTGCGAAAAGCAATTTCCCTAACACAGATTTCAAAGTTAAATTTCATCCGGTCTCACCATACGGTGTTTATTCAATCACCGCGTGGTGAGTGTTGGTGTTCTCCAGTACACAACGAAAGGCTGCCTGCAAGTAGCGAGCTGCAGCCCACATGAGCATCCACAGAAGGAGGAAGAAGCCGCACTGCTATTGATTGGAATCAGTAGCTCTTCGTGAGTCGCTGTGGACCATCTATGTCAAGCGTGTCATACTAAAGAGAACAAACAGAGATAACCCCGCTCAAATTCCTATTGCTACTCAAAAAGCAAGCTTCTGCTGCAGTTAGCAAATAAGATTTATTATATAAGAACTCGTAGTCCTACGTTCCCATTGCGTACAACCCCATAGGGCTGTCCGTTGTAGTTTTTAATCGGGTGACATCTGGTTTCTGGAAATCGATGCATGACGCCATATTGAAATCCAAAATGACGGCTTCCGGCTTTAGTGTCAAAAACCCTACAATATGGGTATTTTGGAAACGAGGACGACGCGTAGTTGCCGAAACTCAATATCCGACGCCATTTTAAATCCAATTTGGTGGCCATCGAGCTTAGAAAAAAATCACATACCCCACAATATGGGTATTTTCGGAACGAGGACGACGCGTAGTTGCCACAAATTGATGTCCGACGCCATGTTGAAATCATATATTGGACAATGCACAACTGACCGTTTGAATTACCATACACTGAGAAAGCCATAACAAATTAAGGTAGAAATTTTAATCTATTTCGTCCACACATAATTTACGATAACACCAACCGGTGGAAACTAACGATTTGAAATTAACTCACTACTTGACTAGCCGATTGGTCCCAAGCAAA